CGCATAGTCTCGTAAGGAGAGGGAGCCAGCTGGAACTGCTACAAAGAACGAGGAACTCGACCTTCTTGGGGCCAGCACGTATTTTGCGTGAAGTAATAGTTTGGATGTATCCGAAACATTTGAAATAAAGTGTATATCTACCGAGCGAAAAGATGAGACATATTGCATAGACACACTTTTGCTTAGACAACCCCCTAACTCAATCAAATAGGCCAACTGAGACGTCTGCAGTTACGGCAAGCGTTCCCTTAGTATTGACGCGAATTTCTAACTTCACTTTCCCCTTCCATATCCAAATATTTTTGATTCCCGAAGTAGAAGCACGTTTGTGGAAGACATAGAACGAAAATTCGCACAGTCGTCAATGGAGTACTGTCGTCTTTAGTCAATCAACTTAGTACCCATGAAAGTGCCTTAAGTTTAGCAATGCCACCCTATATATAAATATTAGTCCAACTCTAGCCGATGCTTAGATTTGACCACGTCAGCAAAGCTTTTCAGATAAGTTTCAAATCAGCATCATGTTTGAGACAAAAGATATGATTTATTAAAATATACTGAAAAGTGAAAGTTCTTAAGTGCTCACATCAGTCAACAAAACAACACGGGGATGAAATAGTGCAAAGGTTCAAAAGCAGCATAACTATCAGCAAGGACTGTTCTACATTGCAAATATATGTTAGTGAAACGAGAAAATGAAGTAAGCGAGAGGCTGGAGATCCTACACGAGTTGTATGCAATTGAGAGTAGGGATAGTAAGTTAAAAGGCAGCATCCAGATGAAATTGACGTTCTTCTTCACTCGCCATAACTCCAGGGCGCTGGTATTCGGAGACCTTGAATTTAGTCATTGATTGAACTATTTAATAAGAAAAAGAAATCACCTTCTTTTCAAAAAAGTTTGTCTTTCCGTCAATCGAGATGTTCTCCATGAAGTCGAAGGGGTTTTTCGACTTGTACAACTGAAATCATACATTACAAATATGAGTGGCAGACTGCAGCCAGTGTGCTACCTTTTCACATCCCAACTCAACCAAGAGATGATCTGCAACATATTCAACATACTGCGACTGAAGGCGACAATTCATTCCGATCAGATCAACAGGAAGTGACTCTTTCAGAAATTCCTAAGCAAAAGAATGAATACACAAATGTTAACCCAGCCTTAACATTGAGTGATAAACAAAAGTAGGGAATTATCTAAATAATCGTAACTACGTTTCTAATTTGTGATATGGAGCGGAATTAACGAATGAATATATTAATCTACGGAAGAAGCGGCAAATTTCGCTACTACCTACCCAGTCCCCAACGCAGTACTCTTTAGCATGACAGACTATTACGTTCCAAAAATCCAATCTGCCTGCACATTGTTTCTAGTATAAGAAACTACAGTTTTGCTTAGATCAGTAGGTCCCGCTACATTACTAAGCATGGATTGACTTGATGGAGCGCATTGATGGAACTGTTCATAAACGGCAAATGAGCTTTCAGATCTTTCACTTAACTAACCTGTTCAATAGACACAGCTTCTCGGACCATGGCATGTATGCGATCTTGTGGCAGCTTGTTCTTGATATAACGGTAGAGAAGACATGCGAAGTCGCGATGAAGGCCCTCGTCTCTGCAAGAGCATTTCACTTTGTATGCTAATACAGAGGAATACAGAGACAACCTCGAAATTAGTTCATTTGAGTGAGTTAATCCTGGCATGAGACCTCGTTTCTTCAGCCAGAATATTGCAGCGAATGAGGCAGGAAAGAATATGCCTTCAACACTCGGTCTTACTTACAGTGAAAGTGATTTCGGAATTACCTTCCACAGCTGCAAAAGCAATGAGGCGTTGAGCAAAACATGCATCTTGATTATCAATCCATTTCAGCGCCCACTCCGCCTTCTTCTTAATGCTCGGGAAGACAAAAATCGCATCGAAATGCATGTTTCTAATAAATGTGGCGTTGAAAGATAAATGCCTATAACTCGGTAGATGAATCATCTCACCTTTCCTTTTCATCCCTTATGTAAGTTTCAATCAGTTTACTGTACATTTCCGAATGAATGCTTTCGATAGCGATTTGGAAACCATAGAAGAAACGAGCTTCCGGAACTTGGACCTCTTGTGAGAAGCGCTTCATCTAAAGTTTATCATCAAAGGCTCTTATGTAACAAAGAATGTTTAACAAATCATTTGAGACAAACCAGATTTTCATTAACAATTCCATCAGAAGCTGCAAAGAACGCTAGTACACGAGAGATGAAGAAGCGTTCATCGTCGTTCATTTTTTCCCAATCTGCCATGTCCTTCCCGAGATCGACCTAGAATCAAAATCATTTATGTCTATTGAATTGGAAACAGAAGGTGTCCTCATAGAAGTGATGCTAAATAAATTTTTAATATTATATAATCTTGTTTTTAAACACTCAATTTGATAAGCTTCAGAAAATCTTACTACACACTTCTTCAACGGTCCAAAATGACGCAACAGCTTTCTTGTAGAATGCCCAGATGTCGTGGTATTTCAACGGAAATATAACAAAACGATGGGGGTTCTCCTTTAAGATCGGTTCCTCTTCTTCGTCATAACAGATCGAAGCCTAACGTAAAAAAAGTACAACATACGAAAAAGAGCCGTAAGAAAAGAATGTATTTTATTGTTTCTAAAAAACTTATTACTCGATCAGCGCTAGAACTTCTTACTGCAGAATATAATAGCTAAACACTTCACGTTCTATGTGGTTTTCCACCTCGTTGAAATAGTCAAAATTTGAACAAATTATTACAAGTTATACATTGTTGGTTCCCGCTGATCGCTGCACTTTGCTGGACAGCCGGGTGCACTATGTTCAGCTCAAGGTACCTGTAACCAGTTAGCGCAAAAGACATAAGGTCAGATAATTAAGGTAATCAAGAATATGGTTGCATCGCAAATTTGTTGTGATTATGCCTAACAGCAAGACATGGCACAAATTCTATCCCACTTCAATGAAAAACAGCTCTTAAGACAGATCATAGTTCATTACAAAGTACGGCTTGTGCTTTTAATTATAAAATGTATGCTTTAAAAGTGGAAGAGGCGTAAAGATATAACTCACGCATGCGTCTCCAGCTTCCTCAATTGTCTTTTCCTTCTTTTCCTCGTGCATAACATCCTACAACATCGGATATGACAGGTAGAACAAGAAAACTGGGAACCTTTGCCTCACCATATTCTCCTTGTTCCCAGCGGAAGAGTCACCAAGCATTGTCTGCAATAAATGAAAAAGGTAACCTTATTACTAACGAATGCGGGCAACTAATGAGAACAACTATTCGGCATGTTCCGATGAACCATTGCGAAATCCATCCACAAAATTCGAAATTAACGCGCGCCCGCCAAATATTCAGAAGCGATCGAGTGACATGACGAACGAATAAAAAAGGGACGCTGAGGAAATTGCGAAATAGTGGAAGTATGAGAAGAATGACATGGGTCCATTCAAGACTATTTCACCAGATGAAAGTTCTTTTTCTTCAGCCTGCATCGATGGATTACAATGAGTGACACAAAATTGAATGAATTATTCAAATCTAGAGTATCTATGATGGGAATGCGTCATACCAGCGATAATCTTGAAGGTTCTCTTTGAATGATGTGGCTTTCAAAGTAAATGAGCAAGATAATAACATTTTGTGAAGGTTTGATCTGACCTTGTAGAGACTCATTTTTTTAATATGGCAACTTAAGCGAAGCAGTAGCAGAATGTAAAAATTACACATTTCCTATGAGCAGCGTCAAAAATTTCTAAGAATATCCGAATTCATCCTGTTCTACTTTGGTACTCTTCCATCATCCGTTTGAGCAGCACGAGGCGAATCTCGGGAGAAAAGGGAGAAAAGTAATTGCTACTTTGGCTCTACATTCTATCAACTGATTATTGAGCGGTAGAATAGGGTTATTACCTGCCGAGTACAAGGGCTGTCAAACTTGGGACCTAACTCTATATTTTTCGATGGAGTTATCATTGAAAAAAAGCACTTGCATATACATACCCATTCTAGGACAACTGGAGTTTCTTCGAACTACAAATTCCCCGATTTCACGAGAAAAAAATGTTATAGAACGCCAATTCGTACTGTTTTAGCACTTGCTTATGCTATGATGTATCGGAAAATCGTCTACTGACAGCTCCTCATAAGCAAG